AATTTAATAAAAAAAATAGATAATTCATTATGTTGAACATTTACTTGCAAACCCAATGGCAAGCCATATGCATCGTACTTGCGCTCGAGTCTATCCCCTTTAGGAATCGAATATCCCCTTTTGAAGTGTCGTAAGGTATCTGCAAAACAACTTTGCCCCCAAGGATAGCTGTTGAAGGCATCAATGTCATCAACAACCTCCAAATGAAAAACGTCGATTGACGTCTTTCTGTGATGACACCTGAGTACACTCTCCAGGATAAGCACCAAACCTAACTTTAACCTGTCAGACATATCATCGCATACCCTGAATGCGTCTACCAACTGCCCTGGAGTTACCGTCGTCTGCCCAGGAAAATATTCATTCAACAGCCTCTTGTTTCTCGGAATACGGGCATGTGCTGCTTCTTCGCCCGTACACATCAATCCGGTGATGAGGGCAAACTCAAATATAGAAAATGTAACTACCTTGCCCCCAAAATCAAAACGGAGGGCATCTCCATCAACTGGCTTAAGCAGTCGACATAACAAAGCATCAAGCAGCTGCCCAGAAAACTGTACGCCGCACAATGAATATNGATCTAGAAGGGCCATAAGCAGGATCGACGCAATATGCCCGGGTGCTCCTCGTCGAGCAAATCTAATACCACTGTAAAGATGGAAAAATTACAGTTCGATGTAACTTTGCCTGGGATTTGTCTAACCGCATCGTCCAAATGGTAATCCATCCTGCAACATTTAAATAAACCATCAAATTAAATAAAAAATTAATATCCCAGTTGGCAGGAGTGCTATTCAACTACATTGATCTTATGTTTGGCCTCATTTTTTTCAAAAACTCATTTTCGACCATACATTCTTCCAAAAAATAATTTTATGTAAAACCAAAACTTTTACCTATTTTTTAATAACACATTCTCTAATAAAACACTATTTCAAAATGCATCCAAATATGGAACTCAATAGGAGCGAATAGAGTGGGTTAGGATTCCATATGAACACCACCATACATACATTTCTTGGTTAATGAATGATGAATCGCTCAAATAGCAACACTCATTACCTCGTCTTTCTGATCTTAATCACAACATAATAATCATAGTTTCTATGCACTATAAACATGTCATAAAGCATATATGCACAAAACAAAGGGCAATCTTCACTTTAGGTCCCTGAGCCCTGAGGCAATTATAGATGAAAGGCCATTGACAAATGGCAACCCATTGAACTGCAAAATCTAATGAAAAGCTTCTCATTGCATAAGCCCAATATGGAATAAAAAGTTTATTACAGAAGCTGACTAATGGTAGCAAAAATAGATGAGCAGTAACCAATCTGAAATCCAAGTATGCATTAGTAAAACCATGGAATTGATTCTTACTTTTGCTAGGAAAACAGTGACGTCATTCACTCTTTGGAGATAATGTAGTTGGCTTACTGCTGTCACCTCCCCTGATTTGCAACAAGTTAACTAATCTCAGGAGAAGGCAATTATTTACAGTGTAATTTTAAGGCAAATGATCAACAATCTTCCAAAGCATTGATATTTCAATACATGCAGTAATGAACCACATAAAGTGCCCAAAGAGATATAAGTAGCCTACCATATATATTGAAAATAATATTCAAATGTTTAAACATAACTTGAACTATTCCTAATAACAACTTCCAATAGATTGTAAATGCAGAAAATCACCTTTCCAGAAGATGGATTTTCATTTACAAAGATTAAGTAACACAAAAAAATAAAAAAAATAATCCAGTATGACCTACAAATCATAGAATTGTTTGTAGTGTTCATACTTAAAAGTTACTTTCCCAGAAGTAATTTAGAGCAAGTATATAAAAAGTAACTTCAAAATTCGTACTTAATAAATTAAAACTTAGAAGAAAATTTGATTTTACTTTTAAACCAAAACTTTCCCTTCCTTCCCCTGCAAACACCCAAAAAGATGTAAACAAAGTTTGGTTCTTCAATAAAATTTACATACAAGAAATGGACTTTACATCACACACAAACTACAATAATCACCAAAAATAACGAAAAAATTGCATGCCAGTATATGTATATACAGAAAGATTAAAAATACTATCGATAATAGAACACAAAATAAAACTTGCAAAAAGTCGAGCCCTCAGATCTCATAGCTTCTAGAATCACAGACGGCTAATCCGATGTGGATCCATCAGAGTCCTCTAACGCACCACCATCACAACCAAGCAACCAAGTGCATGTGTGTGCATCTATCTATCTATTTATCAATGGTAAAGAGTATAGGACGAGGTGGTGGTGGATGTGGCGGTGGCGGTGGAGGCAGCTGATTATTCCGGTGATGCGAAAAGGCCAAAGATGAATCAAACATCGTGCCGCATCAATGCATCAATTTTTTTTCCATCATTGGGCAAATTTAATAGAAAAACAATTAAATATAAAGCAAATTACAAATCCATACATACACAGAGGTAAGTGACAACTGATGACGGCGTGAAGAATGGCGAAACTAGGGTTTGTAGATCGCGGGGAGGAGATTTTAGGGAAAATTAAGCCCCGTACGGCCCATTTATTAAATAATTGATTAATACACTATTAATTTTTTAGATTTTCATTAGCATTAATTAACGTAAATTTTACAGTTATGGTGCGTTTGATTGTAAAGGTGAAAAATTGGTGAAAAAAATATTTTACAGGGAAAAGATTTGCCTAGAAAATGTTTTGCAGGGAAAATGATTTCAAGTGTGTTTGATTGGTATAATTTTCTACCCGAAAAATTTTTAAATTTTGTGTTCGTTTGACTTTGTTTTATATGGAAATTGTCCATTAAAGTGATAATTTTTTCCACAATTGGTTATAAAATTTGTTTCATTGCCAAAAAGTAATATATAAAATAATATTTTCCATCACATCAATAATTTCTTCTTCTTTTTCAACCACACATTTCCCATCATATCACTATTCAAAATCAATTTTTCCCCCAAAAATCTCTCCCAAACAAGCTCTTAGTGTTATTCATTCTTGAATTATCCCCAACCAATCCCTAAATATGTTATTTCTTTGTGGTGATTTGACTGATTTCCGGCCAATACACTATTGGTGTTTTTGGCCAACGATTCCCCACCATCACTGCATTCCTTGTCGTCATGGTAGGTGGTGTTTTCGATTCCGATTTCAAGTATGTTGTTCACCTCTCTCACTCACGCATATTTTCTACTTTTTTTGGGTAATGTTTATTTGATGAATAATACTACAATCCATTGTGAAATTGTGAATTAGAGGACCGGTTAAGGTGTTTTGAATGAGAAAAAGATTGAGTTTCAATTTTTCTTTTTCCTTTTCTTGGTATAAATTCATAGTTTAACCTGAAAAACAAAATAGTTATAGACCTTATGACTTTCTGCATTTGTTTCGAATTCTTAGGTGAAGACACCTATTGTTGCACTGGCATCTTATGTCTATGGTTCAAATTCTTAAATTGCTGGCTTAATTTTTAAAGATTTAAATCTGATTTGAATTGGCAGATATGATTTCTTGTTCTATTATATCATTCAATTTATGATTCTGGATTTTGTCGGTATTATTGTGTATCCTTGTGCTCATGAAGCAATTATTCTCATTCTCAAATTCAATTTCCTTATTAGAGATGTTATTTGATAATTTTGGTCATTTACTTTTATGTTAATGGAGATGTTGTACGTTTAATTGCTGCAGAATGAATTTGAGACTGAAATTGAAGAACCCCACATAGGAAGTTATGTGGGTAGAGAGGAAGAGAGAGTTCATAGTAGCATATGTACTTGTTGACACACTAAAAGTGCAGCCCAAATTGAATAACCCAAAGAGTGAAGCCCATTTGGAGAGTTCAGAACAAATGCTCAAATGAGTTTATTGGTAAATGTAGAGGAAGCCCACGAACACAAGAGGTTTGTCCCTTACACAATCGTCTGAATTTCCTTTTAATTGTTAGCGACTACCCGCGCGAAACAGTACTTTTGAATTTTCAGCTCACAGATGGTTGACGAGGCAAAGATGGAAGATGCATGTGATGAACAAGCACAACATATAAATTAATTTTGAAAAATATTTGGTATAAATGATTTATATAGAAGTGACAAGCTATATCACTTTCAGAAATGATATCATTCGATTAACAGTAATAAGTGTTTATACAATTTTTTTGGCACTTCATCAATTTTCGTTAGTTTGTGAGCTTATTGGATAACTTGGTGGTATTTAAATTTGTGGATTATGATTATATTGCCCAAGTTGTTAGTTCAAAAATTTTTAATTTGCTCATCAGTTGTGAGTTTATTGGCTAATTCAGCTATATTGAAAATTGTGGGTTATGATTATTTGTAACATTTTTTAAACTCATTTTTCATATAGTTGAGTAGGATGAACACTGCTAGTTTTTGTTGGTTACTTGGAGTTGTAGCTTAAAAACATTACTTAGCGAATGTAAATTTTGTACTTTTGTTACTTTTTTTTAAATTTATGCAACTTCCAATTTATATGTTAATGTTGTGTTCTTAAAATGAAGTTATGTTCTACATTTAGTTAATATAAGTGAAACTATATAAGTGAAACATAATTACAAAGTGACAACATATAAAAACAAGTTAACCATCATTGGATCTATTTTTTGGTTTTGATTAGTGTTTCTTACTTTTTTGAGTGTTTGTGATTTTTTTGAATGTTTGTCACTTTTTTTTTAGAATTTGTCACTTTTTTAATTTGTATCACTTCTTTTAAATTTCTATCACTTCCAACTTATAGGTTGTTGTATTTATAATATGAATTTATGTTTTATGTTTAGTAAATATAAGTGAAGCGTAATCACAAAGAGACAACATATAGAAGAAAACTAACTACCCTTGAATCTATTATAAGGTTTTGGTTAGCGTTTCTCACTTTTTTGGTCACCTTTTTAAAAAAAAATTTTACATTTTTTAGTATTGGTCACTTTTTTGAATTTGTGTCACTTCCAACTTATAGATTGTTGCGTTCTTAAAATGAAGTGACGTTTTATGTTTAGTTAATATAAGTGAAGCATAATCCCAAAGAGACAATTTGTAACATAAAATTAACCACCTCTAGATCTATTTTAAGGTTTTGATTGGTATTTATCTCTTTTTATTATCTATCACTTTTGACATTGTATATCACATTTTAATAAAAAAGTCTTACTTGACTTTACACAGTATATTTTACTTTCAAAACATTTTTCATAAGTCTCGTGATTTTAAGTGTATTTTTGTAAGTTGTCCTGGGAAAATTACATCCAAACATGGATCTAAAATTACATTATCATAAATCAAGTTTCAACTATTTTTATTCAATAATCAAGTGTTAATTATATTTTTAATTTTAATAATAACTATTATTAGATTAGTTGGATAGTCTATTTTTTATCTCTCTAATCTCTCCATCCATCCTCTTTAATCTCTATCTCTCTCTCTCAAAACCCTCCAACAACCCCTCTCTGCAACCACCTTCATCGTCGACAATCATTTCCTTCATCGCCTACTTCTCATCGACACCCAAGCAACCTTTTGCCTTCATCCACGATCTTGAGCAGTGCCACACAAAGCATCGAGCACTAGGAACATGAAAGGCATCACAATCGGCTCTAGAATCCTAGAGCTAGCAACGACTGAGATCTATGACGAGAATATAAAACTTGAGGCTCTTCCAATCTCCCTTCACTCTGCTGATTAGAACCTTCCTCCGATGTCACATTCCTCATATGCATCCATAACAAATGATGACATTAATTTTATCCATACTAACAAAAAGACTACAAAGAATTGTGTGAGACTTTTTGTAAAAAAAGGTTATAGAGTATGTTCCTTTGAATTTTTGGCAAAATAACTCATATGCAAAAGTACAAATAAAGTGATACATCATATCACCTTTTAATGTAAATCAAGGTTTGAATTTTTATATTTAAATTTCAAAAGACGCACATGTATACATTTAGTTAATTGTACCAATTAGATATTGTGACTTTTTTAGATAAATATGTCATTTTTTCATAGTCTTCTTTTTGCAAACAGTGCATATATCAATTGAATTGATTCAATATTAATTTTTCATATGTATTAACGTAAAACGAGGTTTGACATCATATAATAAATTTCCAAAAATACACACATATACACCTAGCTCATTGCTCAAATGAGATACTATGACTTTTTTAGATAAAAATGACAGAATGTCATTTTTTTTACATTTTCTTTTTTGCAAACACCTTACATCCATCAATTGAATTGATTTAAAGTTAATTTTTCATATGTATTAATATAAAATAAGGTTTGAAATCATATATTTAAATTTTCAAAAACACAAAGTATGCATCTAGTTAATTACTCTAATGAGATATTGTAACTTTTTTTTTAATGTCACTTTTCCATATTCTTCTTTTTGCAAACACATTGCATGCATAATTGAATTGATTCAAAGTTAATTTTTCAATTGTATTAACGCAAAACATGTTTGAAATCATATATTTAAATTTCCAAATAACACACACATATGCATTTAGCTAATTACTTCAATGAGATTTTGTGACATTTTTCAATAAAAGTAACAGAATGTCACTTTTTCATAATCACATTTTTTGCAAACACTTTGCATTCATCAATTGAATTTATTCAAAATTAATTTTTCATACGTATTAATGTAAAACAACGTTTGAAATCAAATATTTAAATTTTCAAAGACATGCATGTATGCATCTAACTAATTACTCCAATAAGATACTACAACTTTTTAAATAGAAGTGACAGAATAAGTGACAGAATGTCACTTTTTCACATTCTCATTTTTGCAAACACTTTGTATGCATCAATTGAACCGATTCAAAGTTTTATTTTTCATATGTATTAAGTCAATCCATTTCCTCTCAAGATAAAAAAAAAATGTTATTTTCAAATACTTTTCTAGTCACAATAGCAAAACCATAAAAAAAAACCGTAAATGCCAATAATTTACATTATAAGATTCAAACTAAACCTAATGACAAATTTCAAAGAACAATGACATAGACAATGCACTAGGATGATTATAATTTGTAAGTGGGAGTTTATTCAATTTGAAATTGAAATTTACGGTTGTTGCTTTATAATCTAAGCAAAATGACAAAATTGAGGAACTAATTAAACAAAAAATCCCCAAAAAAAACAAAGAACTTTAATTTTTGTTTAGGTATTTCCAGATTAAGGGAAGAAAAATTTGAAGAATGGTAGTTGAAGCAATCTTGATCTTGTTTGTGCTTGATTTGTGGAATATTTCCTCTTTTCCCTCTTGATTTTCCTTTGCTTTTTGGAGCTTAGATGACTGATTTTTGACAAACTATAGCGTGTTAGGTTTGAACGTAAATTATACATTCAATTTTAACTATTTGCCAATTAATCCAAGTTTCTCATGTTTTTTCAAAACTATCCCAAAATATAGGGTATTTGTGTAACTACCCGAGATTTTATTGAGCTATTCGACTTAGTGTGGGCTTTAATTATGTAGTTGGGCTAATGAAGAAATGGATATTCATTTATATTTGGGCAATTGGTCGTTTCAAGAAGTGGTAATTACATAAAATCAGACATTAAGTTTGACATTTTTGAAAATCAGGTTTTGACTTCATTTAATCAAAAATCAGGTTTTAATTTTACAATTAATATTAATAATAATATTTTAAATTAAATTAATCTATATACCCACCCTACTACCTACCCCACCAAATTTATTTTAACTATAAAACTATATCCAAACCCTAATTTATTTCATTTCATTTCATTTCTCTCCCCTCTCTCACCCAGCGTCTCAATCGCCATCGCCCCCTCCCTCCATTCCCTCTCCCCTGCTGCGAATCGTAGTAGTGACGCGCAGCGACGTAGCAGTGTCACTACGACGCTCATGTGCTACCGGTTCACAGCAGCGTCACTGCGCTTCACAGCCGTTCAGCAACGTCACAGCGACGCTGCTGACGTCACTGAGGCAGTTCAAGGTCTAGCCTTCGATCGAGCGCTTCTACAGTAGAATCATCTAGATAAGATCTTTGCCTTCATGCTCCTAACAATTCATAACAAACATCATATTGTTGTGATTTTGGCAGATCTCGGGTTTTTGATTTGTTGTGATTTTCGGTGATTTTGAGTTTTTCTTCATTCTCAGATCTTATTGTTAATGATTTGCACATGGTGATGGTTTTTTGAAAATAAAAATGGTGAGGTGGTGGTCAGGCTGATGGTGGTTGTGGCATGGTATAGATAGAAATATAGATGGTTGTTGAGGTGTTGGAGGCCTCGTGGTTGTCACGGTGGTGGTGCAGGATTTTTTGGTTGTGATTTTGCAATGGTTTCTTGGTTGTGGTGTGGCGGATCTGTGGACTCTGTGTGTAGCTGTGGCGGCCGGATCTCTGTGTGTGGCTATTGTTGGTTGTCAAAAGTGTTATTGTTGGTCGGTGGTTAGGGCGATGGAGGTCGCGGCAGCGTCGGGCGGATGGGACGAAGAGTTTCTGTGACCAACTATTTGGTCGATCTGTGACCAAGTAGTTGGTGGTGTTTTGGGATTGGGGGACAGGGTGTTTGGGTGTATGTGACCAACTATATCGATCTGTGGCCAAGTTTTTGTGGTGTAGTGAGATTGGGGGATATGTGTTTGGGTGTATGTGACCAACTATATAGTTTTCTGTGGTTAACTATTTAACTATGACCTTAAAATTTGTTAATCTGTGACTCAAAATATAATTTGTGACCAACAAATTTAGAAATATGTGACCAATAAATTTTCTTAATTTGTGACCAATTAAAAATCTGTGACCTATAATTTTTTTCAATTGTGACCTCACAATAATCTGTGACCAATTAATTTGATAAATTGTGATCGAAAATCAAAATTTTAACTACTTAATAAGATATCTATGACATTGGAATCGGAGCAGTTATCGGAATTAAGTGGCGACCAACGGTCACCGGAAAATAGTCGCCGGAATTAAGCGCGGCCGGAGTGGTCGCAAGAGTAGTCGTCGGTCACCGAAGTAGTCGCTGTAGCAGTGGAGGTGGGGTGGGTCAATTATATAAATATTATATTTCAGTTAAATATTTAATTTAATAGATTAATTGTAAAATATAATTAATTAATTCATGGAAAATTTTGAGTTTTGTAAATTTAAATCTTGGGGTCTGATTTTTGATTTTATGAAAGATAATCCCTCACCTATAAATTTTTCCCTTTTTTTTACGATTCATTTTAAATATGGGTTGGATTGCCCTGGGCTATAGACCAGGCCCGCCTCCCCTATCTCCGCCCTTGGTTGTGGTTGTTGATGGACAAATGTGATGATCCTTTTTCAAGAAAGGATAATTCTTGTTGTATAGAGGGGTACATAATGTGATGTGGCAATCATTCGATAGTTAATGTGAAAGTGTGATATTTGAATTAAATGTTGAATATGAGCCACTTGTAATTATGTGAAAATTTATGTACCCATAGCAAAGTCCTCCAAAAAAATGAATATGGCATGGGGGCATTTTTGCCCCAATATCATGCCATGGTCAAAGGCGTGCATAATGCTTGGGGCAATGCGCAGATTTCTGTGGAACAAAATAAGGACGTTGACATTCGTGGTGAGCAAGTGATGGAAGCATGCAGGGGCGGAGGCCCATGAAGTCCAGTGCAGGCAAATGCCTGCACTGAACTTTGGGCCAGATTTTTTTTTTGTTTGGGCCAATTTATTTATTTTTAATTTAACGCACCTTCCCAGCCCAACTGCCCAAGGTTGAAAGTTGAAACCCAAGCCCAATAGCAACCTTTTCTTCTCGTTCGTTTGGAATGGGGCAAAATCAATTTCAATTCAATTCTCCTCTCCCTCTTCCTTCGATCTTCCTCCGCTCTTCCGTCATTGCTCGCCCCTGGCCTCTGCCGTCGCCGCCTGGCCCGCCTCGAGTCCACCCCTCTTCTCCTCTTCTTCCACCCGATTTATCTGTGTTCTGTCCGTGTTTCCCCTCTTCGACTTCGCCCCTGCTTGTTCGAGGGCTTCAAGCTTTGTTCGACAATCAACACTTCGAGGTTTGTTATGCAGCAGGAAGAAGAAGCCAAGAAGGTGAATAATGTTTGTTATGTTGCAGTTTTTTTCTGTTATTTCAGTTTTCAGAACTCGAAAAATCATTTTTTTTTTCTCTTAACATTTGAAATTAGGACATTGATGTTAAATTGAAATTAGGACTTTGCTGTTAACATTTGAACCTGTGAGTGAGTTAAATTGAAGTTCAAATTGAAATTGTGAGTGAGTTATTTTGCCTCTGCGAGTGAGACTTGAGTTACCTCTGCCTTGCCTTGCCTTTGTGAGTTACCTCTGCCGGTGGAATAAATGAATTGTTGATGTGAAATTGAAATTGAAATTAGGACTTTGATGTTAACATTTGAATCTGTGAGTGAGTTAAATTGAAATTGAAATTGTGAGTGAGTTATTTTGCCTATGTGGGTGAGTTACCTTTGCCTTTGCCTCTGTGAGTGAGTTCATTTGTCCCAGGGGCGGAGCCACGTTAGGCCCAGGATGGGCACAGGCCCATCCTGAACTCTGGGCCAAAAAAT